TATTACTTAATAAATGTATCTATCTATCTATCTATCTATCTATCTATGAACAGCCTCCTGGTAGACTCGCTTCTCTGTGGTATCCCAGTAATTGTTACCAAGGTCCCGGGGCCGTACAGTCGCTGGTTGACGACCACCATTCCCGACGCGCTACGATGGACAAAACCCCACACAACCTTTTTTATTATAGAGGTTTGGGAAATGCGTTAGTGCACTTACCCAGATGTTGTTCTATAGCTGGGCCTGTGTGGGGCTCGAATTTCTCCTCACCCACTAAAACCCTTTCCTCTCTTCGTGTTGCCCCCTGCCAGGGACCGCCTCTCGGCATTACTTCTGGCAGGCCACTGTATTTTACTCCCTCACTCGTCCGCTGTCATCGAGGTCCTTCTGCCTGAGTATGGACGCCACCACTCCTGCCACAATCCTCCAGTTTTTTTCGCCCTCTAATAGGTACCTCACTACGTTATCTAGCGTCATGCGGTGTCCCCCATGCTCCCATGCCTCTCTTTGGGCATCCCACTTTGTGCACGCAAAGATGGTGTGCTCCGGCGTATCCACCCTTCCACAATCCATACACTCCGGCCTCTCTCTCTTGCCGAACCTTTGGAGGTATGCACCAAAGGCCCCGTGTCCAGTGAGCATCTGCGTCACAAAGTATTCGATCTCTCCGTGGTTTCTGCCGGACCACCGCTGAATATCTGGGATAAGCCTCTTCGTCCACTGCCCTTCGTTCCCGGTTTCCCATCGCCCTTGCCACTTGTTCATAGTTGTGTTCCTAGCCTCCTCCGCGCTTTCAGACCGCTCTGCCACCCTTGCCCTTTCCTTCGCCAGCAAGTCCATTGGAGGGACACCTGCCACCACCATTGCGGCCGCCCCAGACACCGTGCGGTAATCCCCACATATACGGAGCGCCATTCTTCTTTGCGCTTTGTTCAGCATCTCGCGGTACTCTCTGTACCGGAGAGCCCCGCATCAAAACTGTGCCTGCGACATCCCCACTCCGCCGTACGTTAGCCCTCGGTCCACCAACATTCGGCATCAGCCGGGACAAGCTGTTGACCGTCTTTTCTACTCTTGCCATTGTTTTTGTGATGTGGACACCCATGCTCCACCCGCGTCCAATCCAGACACCCAGATACTTTAGCATGGGTACCGACACGACCCTGCATCCGCCAACATTCATTTCCAGAAACGGCATTTTCCTCTGTTTAGCCAGCACCACAATCTCTGTCTTATGAGCGGCCAGGCAGAGCCCCGCTCCGCTGAGCCACTCTATTATGGTGTCCGCCGCCGAGTTCAGCCGCTCTTCCAGCTGCTCCCTTGTCTTGGCTGCTCCTACCATCGCCAGGTCGTCTGCAGTGATAGTTCCAGCACAGGGTTGTACATGATTCCACAAGAGCGGCCCAAGAACGGAGCCCTGTGGTACCCCGCACCCCATCTGCAGCTGTTCTTGCCCCACATCCACTGCTCTTCCTTGCAGGTACGACGCCACTGCCCTGATCCGATACGCGGGTATCCTTCGACGGGCCAGCTGTTCCATGATCACCCCCCATTGCGCCGTGTTAAAGGCATTCTTCACGTCTAACGTGACCAGTGCGCAGCATTCCCTATGTGTGTGCGAGACTCGCCGCACCCTGTCCACTATTTCCCCCAATGCCTTCAAAGCAGTCCCCGTCGATCTTCCCGGTCGGAAGCCATACTGCCTCTCCGAAAGGTCACCTCCCGCAGTCTGGCCACCAGTACTTGCTCGTACAGCTTTCCCGCTGCATCCAGCAGGCACAGTGGTCTGTAAGCTTCCTCCCCTGTAGCCGTCTGTTTCGGAATTAGAACCAGCTGTGTCCTCTTCCACACATCGGGATAGCAGCTGCGTCATTACCGCCGCTGTCCATCCAGGGGCCGACTCCACCGCCCACTTGACCACCTCTGGCGGTATACCGTCTGGTCCCGGGGCCTTTCCTGCTGCCAGCCTGCGTGCTGCAGCTGCTACTTCCCCCTCTGTCACCTCTGGGATTTCCTCCATCGTTGCCGCCGTGTAGTCGCTCCAGTCCACCGGAGCACATGCAGAGAAGAAGGTCCTAGCCCACCTCATCTTCTCCCCCTGCTCCATTTCCTGTGCCCGGATTCCCAGCCTCCCCATCACTATCTGGTAAGCCTTGCCCCAGACATGCGTGTCCACCTCCTCTAGCAGGCTTCTCCAGCATTCAGCTTTAGCCCGGAATATCTCATCCCTGAGGGACTTCTTCCACGCCTTCAGTATTGATTCCGCCAGACCCTTGATTCTTTTGATAGCCTTTAGAGTTGATCTTCCTCTCCTGAAACAGTATTGCTCCTCGTGCAGTGTGTTATTTTCCTTAAGTTTGTCCTGCAGCCTATTCTTGATCATAATCTTCCGCTGTGTTTATCAGGCATATTGGTCTGTACGCCTGCTTCTCGCTGCTGTTTTTCTTAGGCTTTTCGATCAAGACCAGCCTGGCTTCCTTCCATATTACAGGGAAGATCCCCTGTCTTAAACACTCGTTCAACACTTTCAGGAATGCACTACGGCCCGCTTCAATCCACACCTTAATTACCTCCGGCGTAACCCCATCCGGGCCTGCCGCCTTCCTGTTTTTTAGTTGTATCGCTGCTCTCGTCAGCTTCTCCTCCGTGAAACCAGGAAAATCCTCCTTTAGATTTACCGGCGGGCCAGTATCTCCCCCACCAGATCCCCTTGGGAAGAGCTTGCTGATTTGTTTGCTGATGACATCTGGGGCGATCGCGTTTCCCCTCCTCAGCTTTAGCTTTCTGGTCACAATTTTGTAGGCTTTTCCCCAGATGTCATCGTTTAGTTCCTCGCAGAGCCTTATTCAATTTGCCTTCTTTGCCTTCCATATTTCCTTCTTCCGGTTATTTTTCGCTCCCTTATATTCCTCCGTTATCGCAGCGTACACGGCCCCCCAGGATTCGCTCTCCTCGCCCTAGTAGCCTTCCTACGCAAATGTATGCAGTAGACACCTTTCCTGAATATTCCGCATCAATTCTTCGGGGCTTTCCTCTTCTCCCGTGAACAGGTTTCCACAGCTGTTAGCGAAGGCTTCTAGCCTTTTTTTGTCCACTCGAAAGCCCCAAGGAGTCGGTCTGTTATTCGTAGGGTCCGTCCTCCTAACCTTGTACCTAATCGTCCTGTGGTCACTAAGGTTTTCTTTTTCATCCTCCACCTCCCATTCCACAATACTACCTACCAGATCGGGTGTTGCCGCATTAAAGTCTATAACCGAGGACCCTCCTCTCCCTGCGAAAGTTGGCTTATTACCAACGTTAGCTATGACCATGTCTTGGGCCACGAGCCAGTCTTCGAGGATTTTCCCCCTCTCATTAGTAACACGGTCCCCTATCAATGCCGTCCTAGCATTTAAGTCCCCCACAATGATTTTGCCCTTCCCTTTTATTCCTCTTAGATGCTTACCCAGGTTTTCCAACAGGTTCTCGAAGTCCGCTACATCCCCATTTGGTGAGAAGTAGCATGAGTACACCCACGCCTCCTTAAGCTCCGCACCCACAAAACCTACACCCATATACTCACTTATCACCTCTAGGTTATCCCTTAAACTGATAAAACTATCCCTTTTCTTATCGCAGAGTTCGTTCGTCACTTTATCCCTGTTTGGTTCCTGCCCCAAAATGACTCCTATCCCTTCCTCGTATATCTGCTGCTCGATAATGTCGTGCGCAGCTTTTCTTCTCCCGAAGTTTAGTTGAAAAACTTTAGCTCCGCTATGTTGTACGGGGCCTTTGCTTCTCTGCCTCTCTGGCTCTTATTATGGCCTTATTGAAAGCGGGGCATTTACTCGTACCCGTTTTATGCTCCTTATTGCATAGCAGGCATGCATCTTTGTTTGTGCATTCCTTGTGTGGCCCTCTTTTCCACATTTGTGGCACAGGTTTGACCTATCTGGGCCCTTGCATTTGGCTGCCCGATGGTCATATGCCCAGCACTTGTAACAGCGAATCAGCGCCACTCGCTTTACAATTTCACACCTTACCATCCCTATCCTAATATGCCCTGTGTCCGCATGTAGTTTAATTACCTCCTTGCCCACGAAAAGCGTTGCCGTTTGGTTGTTGCCAAAACTTGGCCTCAGCTTGCTCAGGTTCCACTCTGTCTTGAAGCTAGCCGCTCCTTTAACGTCCTTTCTATCTCGGTCTTAACAGTTGTGCAACCCTTTCGCTAGTGGAAAAAACAAATAATTGCTCAATATTGGTTCAATATTGTTTTTACATTGGGCCAATATATTGTGCTACTGGGGATGATTGTTTAAATCTCCTATTAAGATATCAGATAGGGGTAGATGAATCCTAAGACATTAATAATTATTATTTTAATACCCACTAACTTTTTTTTATAAAATTATCTGAATGAATTAATGGTATAATACCGAATTTATTGCCTGCCCCAATTGGCAATTTTAAGCACTTACAATTTCATTGGGAGAACATTCTATGTTTCCGGAAAACTATCAGCATTTATAATTGATATAATTAATAGGCTGTTCAAAAAGAGAAATTCCCTCTTGGTACAATTATTGTAGCATTTATTTTTTTTCTAATCTCTTTCAACTCAAACACTAAACCATTATTCAAAACACAGCAATTATTTGGCGTCTTAATGGACAAAAAATAGGTTGGAAATTGAATTTGTTCAAAACAATCTTCATTAGCGTTGCATTTATGTGATAATAATTTATCTAAGTAAGGAAATGAAACATTAACTGAAAGCTCCCGTGTTACAAATTCTTCATTATTCCATTTGAAATTTGTTGTAATGGTTTTGCAGATGATTGCATTTTATTTTTTATTTTGTGTGTGCATTTTCATATTTAAAACCAGAATAATTGTCTTAAGGGCCCTTTAATTTTATCTCTTCACAAAGATGAACTAAAAGATGCACGTTGTGCGAAATATTTTCGCGGTTGTAAAAAATTTCGTTTTTAACAAAATATATTATAAGCGAATGCCCAAAATCATAAAGTTTGCTTCCCTCTTATAAATATTGTTTCGTTCTGCCTCTGTCCGGGCGCACTGACCCTCACCTTTATAGTGTCCTTAATTGCCTTCTGAATCTCCCCCATCGCTTCTTTACCCCTATCCAGCTTGATGACCATCTTTCCCTCCCTAGTGCTGCGGATGTTCCTTATCCTATTTCTGGCTGGGTTATCCCCTACCGCCGCCTTTACCTTATTTAGGGTATTCGCATAGGACTTTCCCGCGCTTTCCAGCACTGGGGCGTATGTGGGTCTTTCTCCTTCTCTTCCCTTGTGCTTGACCCCCTGGCTATATATACTCACCTGCTTGTTTCCTAAGGAAGCAAAACAATATAAATACGAGCACGGCAAATTAAAAAAACTACGATTTAAGTGCTCAAAACCAATGGTATAATATATGCAACAAAAAGGTAAAGCGCAATTGCTTGCGAAACAAAAAAAATAAGGTAAAGCACAATTTAATGTGAAACAAAAATGTATTTAAAACCAAACCCGAAGGTTACACATTTGCTGAATCAATTGCCAACGAGAGAGGCGATTAGAGGGAGTTTCAAAAAGAGGTTTATCAGGCACATGATTAATTGGCTCCAAGCAGGTAAGGAAGTGTGCAGGAGTTAAGGCCGCGAAGTCATTTGGGTTGGCGCTAATCGGATAGAGGGGTCTGGAATTGATTGTGGCTTCAATCTGCACAAAGAGGGTGTATAATTCCTCAAATGTTAGAATTTGAGCACCAATTGTCCGGTGTTGTAAGGTTTTAATTGAACGGATCGAACGTTCTCGAAGTCCGCCCATATAAGGAATGGATGGAGGGTTAAAGTGAAATTGTATCTTCATTTGTTCTGTGACGTTCTGAAGATATGTTAGTATCATTCTGTCAACACCAATATGTGCTCTTTTGTATTCAAGAATCCTATTTTCTTGTTATGTAGCACTTTTGCCTGTAAGAATTTCCTTTTTCAATTTTTTAATTTCTATGGTTAATGTGAAAAACGCAAGGATTTCTTCAAAACATAATTACCAGAAAAATCCTAATCTTAACCTCCAAATGCATTTAAATTTAAACCAATATTTAAAATATTTTAAATACATTAAGAGATTCTTAAATTCATAAAAAAACTTTAACCCGCAAATGCACTTAAATTCTTACTCACCTGTGGCATTATTGCGCGGAGATTTATAACAAACTTTTTCTCGCCAATACATTTAAATTTTTTCTCACCTGTGACGTCATTGCGCGGAGCGGGACGAAATTGAGACCGCTATTTATCATATATTGTTTTCTTTGTATCATGGTTTAGGTCCACTTTAAAACGATGCGGGTCGTTGCGGATTATGGTCGCGTCATCGCAACATCAGCTAAGCTTGCCTCCCCTGTCCTTTAAAAAGTAGGCAACGTAGTGGCCGCTGCTAGGCACGCTGACTTTGCGCAAGACGCACGCGACCAAATCGTAGTTGGCCGACTCGCCTTCGAGGCTTTCCGCGGCTGAGGCTTGCAGCGTTTCAAGTTGTAGAGTCCGCTGGACAAGCGGCTTGCTTATACAATTTTTCGTGCCTTTGTTCGGGTTGACGAGTTGGGGCGAGTATGAAACAAGGATGAATATGGGAAGCTTACCTATGACCTTTGCACGCGAAACCTCCGAATGTTGGACGCAGCAAAACCAATGAGAGAAACCCACGCCAGCGATTTGCCATCCCCCAAGACGGTGTGCTTCGTCTTTATCAACATTTCCACGCTCATAAATTCTAAACGATACGTTAACAAATTTTCTTGGCGGCAAACAAGTCCTCGTCACTGCGACGGCGACGGCAAATTCCTGATCGAGTAGAGGGTTTGCACAGCCGAATTGTACAAGAAATTCAGCAGGATCCTGCTGTTCATCACTGTCGCAAAGCCCCTTTTTGTGTAATAGGCCAAGAGCCCGTGTCCAACAAAGTATCATCGGCTGTATTATATATTTATATAAGTATATAATAATACACCGCGCGTCAAAATTAAAGCATAATAAGTAAAAAAATTCTAACCCTAAAACGCCTTTACCAATCTTTATGAAATTTTGTATAAGAATAATTCAACTTATATCTCAGTTAAGTTAAGAACCCACTTGGCCCACGCCACGCTACGCCATGCTACTCGACGTCGACTGACGTGGGTTCACGTTTTAGAGTCACCGTACACACTAGTAATACGCTACGCCACGTCTTATGACAAATATATAAAATAAAATTGCCTTATATTAGGCGTAGAAAAATAAAAATAACTAATTGTTCAAAATAATTTATTTGTTGCTTCTTCCACGTCTCGATTACAAGTGAACTTAAAAATATTTGTCATTATTAATATTGCTCACGAAACATACCTAAAGGATTTACGTAACTTAACTAAATCATCTGTCGGTACAAATCATATTGCAATTAAACAAAGTATAGTTACATAATAGGAATCTAATATTTAATAATTAATTGGAAACAATACAAAATATCATGTTATAGTCAATATTGTTGACATTCTAATAATAATTAATAATTACAATCACCACCCCAATAATATTTCTAACAATTCCTAACAATCGGCCTTTCTGACATCTGAAAAGTCCTCGCTTTCCTCCTCCAACCTCTTGTAGATTTTTGGCCTTTGACTTGGCATACGCTTCCAGTTTTTCCTGAAATTAACAAATAACTAGTAGTTTACCATTGCCTTAATAATATTTCAGTCAAATAATATGTAATATTATATCTTTACTATATATATTTTTGTTTTTGCCTACACAGGCCTATTCTTTTTTTGCCTTCAACAGGCCTATTTTTGCCTACACAGGCCTTTTTTATTTTTGCCTCCAACAGGCCTATTTTTGCCTACACAGGCTTATTTTATTTTTGCCTCCAACAGGCCTATTTTTCCTACACAGGCATTTTTTTTATTTTTGCTTAAAATAAAAATAATATAATACATTTTAATTAAATAACCGGGGGGTCTCATCTGTACTATTTACTGCACTATCTGAACTAGAGTAATCTACCAGCCCTCCTGTAAAAGGTCTTAATTGATCTGCAGAAACTGTGGGTTTGTACTTTTTGTACCATCTCATGCCCTGAAGTGCAGCTGTTTGGTATCGGTCATTTCCCAATATTTTAAATATTTTATAGGGACCATCAAACTTTTCACCGGTTTTTCTTGAAGCCTCTTTACTATCTTTGTTGCCTAACGACCACAATACTAAGTCATTAACTTTTAATTCTTGCTTTCTTTTCTTTTCGAATCAAACGAATTTTTCATATATTTACTTTGTTTGTCCATTGATGTTTTTGCGGCTAATTGATCATTTTCTCTGTCTATTGTATCGACACTATTATCGCCAACATTACCAAGAATATTGCCTTCAAAACCGAACATTAACTTGTAGGGTGTAAAACCAGTACTAGAGTTTATACTATTATTAATACCCTGTACCGCTTGAGGTAATTTTTCATACCATTCGATTTCGCTATTTATTGATGTGTTTAAGCTATCTAAGAGGGTTCTATTGTATCGTTCAACCTGGCCATTGGATCTCGAAGCTAATATTGTATTTAATATGTGTTTAATTTTAAAATCCAAACAAAACTCTTTAAATGATCTTGAAGTAAATGCCTTTTCCCAATCAGATATAATTTTTTTGCGGTACACCAAATAATGAAAACAAAAAATGATAAATGACTTCATGTGCTTTCGTGGATTTTGTTGGTCTCGCAAATAAAAATTTAGAAAATGAGTCGACAATCATAAATATATAGGAAAAGCCTGAACTTTTACAAAAAGGGCCCAAATGATCAATATGCCAAGTATTCAATGGTTTAGTTGGTTTATCTATAGGAAATAGAAATCCTTCTTTTCTACCATATTGCGAATGTTTATAGGCGCAATCTAAACAGGAGTTAACATACTTCCTAATGAAACGATTTATGCCCTTAAACCAAAATTTACTTTTTACAAGTTTTTCGCATTTTTTTAAACCGATATGAACGATATCATCATGAAACTTCCTGAGCAAATTAAATTTTGCATATTTTGGTATTACTAATCTAAGTCCTTCACTTGTTTTACGATATAGCTTATCATCTTTTATAGTGTATGTGTGTTCAAGTTCTGGAAGTCTTTTTCTTATGGATATTATGAATATATGAATATATCTTCATCCTGTGACTGAATGCAATAGAGCCAATCCTCCGTATTTATTTTAAGAACTGGATTATCTACAATATTTCTACTTAGTGCGTCTACGTGTGACATTTTCGACCCAGGTCTATGTTCTATTTCGAAATCAAAATCTTGAATAGATAACCACCAACGAGCTATCCTCGGTAAAAGGTCTTTTTTACTTAATGTTAAATGAACTGCGCTGCAATCTGTAACAATTTTGAAATGTATTCCACTTAAATAAATTCTGAAACGTTTGATTGATTCTATTACGGCTAAAGTCTCAAGCTCATATGAGTGATAAACGCTTTTTTGCTTCGGTGGGCAACTTATTGTCAAATATACCTGATAGTGGACGGGACGTTAGGATTTTTTTAATTTGTTCAAATGCCTCGTCTTGCCGTTTGCCCCATTCCCAAGATACTTGTTTTTTGATAAGTTTTTGAATAGGACTAACGATCAAAGCGTGATTTTTAATGAACTTTCGAAAGTAAGAACAAAGGCCTAGAAACTGTCTTGCTTCGTGTACGTTTTTGGGTTTGGGAAAGTCATTTACTGCCTGAATTTTTGCTTTGCCTGGTTTTATACCATACTCAGATACTTCATAGCCTAAGTTTTCAATTGATGTTTCAAAAAATCCACATTTCTGCATGTTAAATTTGACTCTCGAATTAACTTTAATAGTATTTGACGGTATTAATATGTCGTCTAAGTAAATCAGCAGCTTTTCGTGTCGTAACTTTCCAAGTACAGTATTTATAAGGCGTTGAAATGTCGCAGGGGCATTACACGTACCAAAAGGCATTCTTAAGAATTCGTACTGAGCATCGGGTGTTACAAATGCTGTTTTATTAATAGAATTATTTGAAACTGGAACTTGGTAGTATCCCTGTGTCATATCTAGTACACAAAAGTATTTAAAACCTTTCAACCTTGATATGTGGTCTTCTATATTTGGAAGAGGGTAGCGGTCTTGTATTGTTATTTTGTTTAATTATCTATAATCTATCGCAATTCTATAATCTCCGTTTTTCTTTTTGACCAAAATTGCGGGGCTCGAATAACTTGAACTGGATTCTCTATATAATGATATTGTTTTCTAACAACTCATTGATTTTTTTCACGTAAAATTATTTTTTCTTGCTCAGATATTCTGTATTTATTTCAAATTCTAACACATCAGTTTTACCAAGATCACTAGTTCTTATTGCGAAACAGTCTTTATATTTTTTTAATTAAATTATGCAAAAGATTTTGATGCTGATTACTTAAATATTTGCAATTTATATTATTTATATTGATGTTTTCCGCGAGATTTTCATTTTTAGTGATGTTACACACAAAATTTTCGGAAAAGTTAACAGCTTTTGTTAATTTGTCATTTTCTTGAAAATTCAAATTGTGAGAGGCTAGGTTCGTTATAGTTATAGTAAATACATTACTGTTCGAATATACAGTGGGAAAAAGAAAATTATTTTGTACCTTAGCAGGAACAATAAGGCTACCAGGGAATATTGTTTGCACTAAAACTTCTGCAGAGCTTTTGGGTGGAATAGGAATTGATACAGTAATTTTATTATACTCATTGTCAGGCTTAGGTTTTTGAGTTTCTGATTTTAACTTTTTAATTGCAGTTAATTGTACTTTATCAGACATTATTTTCAGTTCAATATTTTGATGATTAATAATAGGTTGACCTATTATAATATCTATGTCATTTAAATTTGTATCAACAAAATAAACTTCGGATTCCATGGAGAAATTTTTAAATGATAGCATGACTTTTGCTTTGCCCGATGGGTGAGTGATACTATTACCAAATCCTGTTATATAACAATCAGATTTTTCTAGTTTAATATTTTTAAAATAACAAATTTTTTTAAAAACAACGTTAGTTTGACTGCCTGTATCTAAAAATCCCTTACATGGAACCTGATTTATAGAAACATTAATATAATAGCAGTTATTTAAAACTTGCCTTTGTATGGTCTGGACCTTCGCTGCCTTCAAGTAATAACACTCATCTTTG